GCCAATCAGGGACAATATAATAGTCATTGTCATGAAGTTTATGAACTGATCAATGTAGTTTTAATTGGATAAGATTTCTCTAGAGACTACAAGAGACCAGAAATGATGTTTATTGATAGCAACTGATYGATTGCTGTGTCTYAAAKATCCACGTGATCTGACTAGGCGCGCAAAGCGAGATTTCCGTGATCGAAAAAAGAATCAATCCCATCAACCACCGCACACTAAATGCACTTGAGCTTCGTAGCAGCCATCTTGAAAAAAGCTAAATATGCATGAAATTCTCACTAATAAACATCTTTTTTTCCCCCAAGTTCCTTTCAGCTAGTGACAACTAGAGATCCTTTTGATAGCAGGTTTGAGGCCTTTCCGCCAAAATAACTATTTTTATAATTATTACTGTATTTCAAGTTAGAGTATACTTTAAATTTTCAATTCCTATACATACTCATTTTAACTTGGATTTTTTCCATGGTAGCCAACAGACCTTTTTCTCAAGGTAACGCGCGATACCAGAACAGGCGCTTTATAATGAGAATTCTCAATCCTCAATTTTACTGAATTTGCGTTTGCAGTTTTGTGGCCCGTCAAGATTGGGATGCGCGCACAATTTTGAGTAAGCGGTTTACCGAAGCGAGTAGAACGGTGAGCTTTCAATGAACAAGCCTTTCTTAACACCTTGGACAATTGTTCGTGTCTCTATCAATTCAAGCTCAACGTTCGTCTCGCTTCGGTGCAAAGGCAAGGATATCTTCCAAGATGGCACTGGGAACTGTGAAGAGGACTATTGTAGCGATTTTGGATTCGGCAAGGCGAAGACACAAGTACGACTTTATCGGTACTTCAGGAAGCTTTATTGATTGATCGTGTTTATAACTCCGAACACTTAACTAACATTATCATCATTATCATCATTATCATCACTAGTACTAAGGTGATTATATGTTTTATTACAGAATTATTGACGTAGATCTTACGCCAGGTCTGCATGCACCCAATATCTGTAATCATTGCTAACGCAATCTTTATCGTAAAGTTTGTGTTCTTTGATGAGGTCCATCATTTCTTCCAGAACACTAACGATGTTTTCGCTAATATAAGAGTTAGATGGAGAATTGTAGGAAATAGCCTTTTGGGCCATTTGCTTAAACATTGCTCGGCATTCATCACATTTTATTCTTTCACAAGTTTTATCAACACCAAACCTACCACGCATATAGTTTGAGAAATATATTTTGTGTTTTGGACATGTGCTTGGAACACCATTCATCTTCATCGCATTTTTTTCGTGGCTCCATAAATACATCATCCCATCCAATGCACCTACAAACTCGGGGATAATCTTGTTTATGCATTGTTGAAGTCGCTTGACCTTTGGTAGGAGTAACGCCTGCATACTTGATCCGTCCAATTCAGAAAAACCTTCCACACTTTCNTGTATTTTATGTTAGAGTATACTTTACATTTTCAATTCCTATACTCATTTTTACTTGGATTTTTTTCCATCATAGCCAACAGAAATTTTTCTCAAGGTAACCCGCTAATCCAAATTTAAGAAACTTGAAGGGCCACGATACCAGAACAGGAGCTTTATGATGAGAAATATCATACATTTCTATGAGATTTTTGGACAAGAATTGTAAGAATCGATTATTCTCTTTTTTAAATATAAAACTGGCTTCTCAATTTTACTGAATTTGCGTTTTTCAGTTTTGTGGCCCTTCAAGATTAGATGCGCGCGCAATCTAGTGTGTAAACGGTCCCTTTCACATGCACAGTTCCCTGCGCCATCTTGAAAGTGCCTTTGCACCGAAGCGAGACGAACGTTGAGCTTGCAACGATAGAGACCTGTTTTTAAACACCTTGGGCAATTATTCACATGTCTCTATCATTGCGAGCTCACCGCTTCGTTACTGCTTCGTCTCGCTTCGGTGCAAAGGCAAGGCTACCTTTCAAGATGGCGCCGGGAACTGTGAAGGGGACTATTGTAGCAATTCGGGGTTCGGCAAGGCGAAGACACAAGTACGACTTTATCTGTACTTCAGGAAGCTTTATTGATTGATCGTGCTTATAACTCCGAACACTTAACTAACATTATCATCATTATCATCATTATCATCACTAGTACTAAGGTGATTATATGTTTTATTACGGAGTTATTGACGTAGATCTTACGCCAGGTTTGCATGCACCCAATATCTGTAATCATTGCTAACGCAATCGTTATTGCTCAGTTTGTGTTCTTTGATGAGATCCATCATTTCTTCCAGAACACTAACGATATTTTCGCTAATATAAGCGCTAGATGGAGAACTGTAGGAACTAGCCTTKTTGGCCATTTGTTTAAGCATTGCTCGGCATTCATCACATTTTATTCTTTCATAAATTGTATCAACTTCAAACCTACCACGACAATATTTTGTGGAACTAATTATGTGTTTTGGACATTTGYTTGGAACACCACTCATTTTAACTGAATTGTTTTCGTGGCTCCATAAATACATCATCCCATCCAATGCACCTACAAACTCGGGGATGATCTTGTTTATGCATTGTTGAAGTCGCTTGACCTTTGGTAGGAGTAACGCCTGCATACTTGATCCGTCCAATTCAGAAAAACCTTCCAGACTTTCCAACTCAGTTAAAGTCATTTTGTTCAGTATGTCATAACACTGSTGGCGTGGCTCTTCTGCCTCCAAGTCCTGTGCTAACAGCAACATGTCCATGGCATTTTCTTTTGTCTTTGTTGTTGATGACAAGAAGATTCTGCAGTCCTTCATCACTTTTGTCATCTGGTATTCATCAGCTAGACTGTAAATGTACTTTATGTTCTTCACTTTCGAGAAAGAAAAAATAAAATTCGCTGTCAAAATATCTCGCAACAACAAAAGATGTTCACTAAAGTTGCATGCGCTGACACACCCTGAAGTTTTTCCTTGCAACAATTTCTCAAATTGCATCACTAGCAAGAGAAAAATGTTACAAAGTATATCGGTAGCTTTACTCTCCATTTTTGAGTCATCATACGCGTTGAATTGCAAGGTTTTCAGGCGATAACCTCATTCTAATATAATATACACCTAATTCAAAAAACGTTATCATCGCCAAAGGTGATAGGCGAAAAGCGATAGGATATATGTCACTCCAAGATCCAAGAATAGCTGGAATGACTTGTGCTTCTGCTTCTCATTCTCGTCAAGAGTATGGACCTTAGTGTTGAGACTGATTCGATGTTCTTTGTATTCAACAATACCATTTCCATGTCGGAATGACCTATCGCCTATCGCCTTTGTAGATGACAACGTTTTTTGAATTAGATGTATAATTTGTATCCTGGTTAGATTGCCGACAGGTGACAATCAGAAATGATGACGTTCAGATAACGTTCATGGTAAAACACAACTTACGTGTTATTTCGCCATCATGCAGAGGATAAATCTGTCGCAGCAAGTCGACAAACTCGTTATCTTTCTTCCCTGGCAAGATGATTTCATCCGCATCTTTTTCTTTGAAGTTGGATGAAAGCATGGCCTTAAACACTGGTGACGCCATCATGAGGATGGTGCGGTGAACATGGAGTTTTTGGTCCTCGACAACAAGGACGAGATCACTGTCCTCCCAGGGACTTGAAAACTCATGTTCGATTGTCAATTTTTCCAGATCGAGGTCAACAGTTTCGTTCATTTCTAGCGATGGAATTATCAACATTATCTATTATTTATACGAGAATATATATAGACTATATATGTTTGTACTGCGGTTATAATGTATCTAATTGCGCTGATCTAGGCAGTATATCAAAAAACTTGTGCAGCTGCTAATAATTCTTGGTTTGCAATCAATCCCAAGAGAGCACAATAACAAAAGGGATATCCGCCATGTTGGAAGATATAACAAAACGATTCATTGAAAAATCTTTTGTCATATTCTTCCAACATGGCGGCTATGACGTCTATTGCAAACGAAGAATAAGACTCAGAAAAAATTCTGAGTCTTGAGCGGGGTTTGAACCCGTGACCTGGCGATTCCACCAGGATTGCCACCGGAATCGCCAGGTCACGGGTTCAAATCCCGTTCAAGACTCAGAATTTTTTCTGAGTCTTATAGTTAGCAGCTGCACAAGTTGCTTGATATACTGTGAGGATCAGCTCAATTAGATACATTATTATTATTATTAGCATCATTATTAGATAAGTAGATTATTTTATAAATTATTAGATAAAAATTGCACGATAGTTAACATTCACTGTATTAGCAATTCCGAGGTCGAGTAAAAGGCTGGGTCGAGTTATCATTGCAGTGCATATTGGGGCTGTATTAGGGTACGAAATACTGAGCCGCCATCTTGGAAATGTGTCTTCTTAAAGTGCCCCACAGTACACTGCGCGCTATGCCAACTAGACCCAGTTTTCCCCTCATCCTCGTAATGGCTGAATCAGCTATTGGTTAYTATGATTAGCCTGCCACCCTTAGGACGTTCATGGGCATTGTTTGCGCGCAAACCTTCTRCGCACGAAGTTAGTGAGCGCGCACTCGTCGTGAAGACGTCATTCYAATGTTTTGATAAGCAAAATATCTTGAAAACGTCTTAAATCTCTTATAGCTCTAAAAAATAATCGSACGATGGGATCACATAGAAATCACATATTTTGTGCATAAATGGAGTAGAATTTCACGTAACGTGAAGGTTTCAAGTCCACACTTGTAACACAATAACTTTTTATATTTCTAATTTTTGAGCACAAATTTTAAAAGCTAACTAATTATTTGGTTATTTTYTTAAATTCTGGGGGAAATGTAGCCTCTTTAAGATTTCTTACTGGTGGGGAAAAAATCTTAAAACGGGCTAAATTCAAAAAATAACCACNCACACTTTTTCCCATACTAGTCTTATATTTCCCAAGTAAGCCCACCAATTTTTAGGGTGGTCCGCGGTCCTTGCAAAAGTGAGGTTTAGTTTTAACTTTGATATCTTGTTTTATTTAGTGAGGGTATAAAGCTTGAGCTCGATCCGAGGCTTATTACAGAGAGCAAATTTTAAAAAAATTCGGCAAATAAGTCTCGGATCGAGATAAAACTTTATACCCTCACTAAATAAAACACATCAAACAAGGTATCAAAGTTTTGTCAAGATTCATTTAAATGCACTAGATTTTAGCTAGTTATCTCTTCTTAAAAAGCCCTGTATCTTAGCAGATTGACCACATACATTCATAGTAAATTGTACAAAAGAACATTGGTTGGGCTGCCTGTGCTTTGACGCTTGATATCAAGGCGTTATCGATGCATTGCGTGATATTCGCTTTAGAAAGATTTGGCCTTGTCAAAGCAACGAAAGCTCATTATGCAAGATCCAATTTATTTATTTATTCATCGAGCCAGGTATTGACGTACTTTCATATAAAGACCTTTCCTACTTTCATGAAACAAGCGGCATCGTATAAGGTTACCGGATGTTTCGCCCAGAAGTCTGTTCGCCCACACGATATCATGTCATATAAATATACACTTAAAAAGCTTTATGAAATAGAATTTATGTAATTCTAAGTCCATCAAAGCAATGATAGAACTTTTAGAATAGCATTTATTCCAGTTGTCTCGATGAAAGTCAAAGATCTATCGCGCTGTATCTCGCTCTGTGCTGTGTTTGTGATTCGCGAACTCGGATGTCAATGAAAATGACACATCGAAGCATTGTAAATGTCAACAAGGCCTAAACTCATGGCTTATTTTTTACAGAACAATATATTCTATATTGCAACGAAATTAATGTTTTATCAGCTGGAGAGTCAGTCATCGCTAAAGCCAGCTTTCGCTTATAGCCGCCATATTTAATTGATGCTGCATTATGCATCGCGCTGAGACTGGGTTCTAGTTACCTTGCATGTAGCCACGAATTGATCCGTTCAAAACTGAACATGCTTTCAAAAGCTGAGCGGCTGATTTCTCATTCTTAGAATAATAATCCTCCCATAGTTTTAACACTTTACATTGCAAATTCAGAAACTAGCTTAATCTGTAGCCCCACCGGTTGGCTTCTTTATATAAAAATTGAACACGCATATAGATATTAATTAATATTATATCAATCGCCTTGATACATACAAAAACCTTCGATAAGATTAGATAATCATGTTTTTAATAAAGATTTTCTTCAGAAAGCCAAGATTTTACGGTGGCCCACAAGTCTCACGGCAAAACAAACTAAACTCACGGCAAAAGGCAATAAATTCACGGCAAAATAAACTTAACTCACGGCAGAATAAAGAAAGTCACGGCAGAATAAAGAAAGCCACGGCAGAATAAAGAAAGCCACGGCAGAATAAAGAAAGCCACGGCAGAATACAATAAAGGTTGTGATGGGCAACGACGTATTGGGTTCCCTGTTTATTTTTTTACCGCGAGCAATTTGTCAGCGGTTTTGATGTTGTAAATACAAATGGCGTCTGGTTAAATACTATTAATTTACAATGCAAAGTTTATCAATTTATCATAACCTTTAAAAGACTTTAGACTTCAATATTGACCCTGAAACAATAAGAACGCTTTATAATTATTCCAAAACAAAAAGTTTCAATGATAAGAACCTAAGCTTGACAAGAAATGATTAAAAATGAATGTATGTAATGAAATGAATGGTTTTAGGAGATATTTTTGAAGAGAAAAATCGGTTCAAGGTTTGTCATCTTAGTCGCCGGGTATGTGATTCCAAGCCGATCGGTTTTTGGATGCTCGATGTTCTAGCTCAATCAATCGCGTTTGAATAAAGTTATCAAATGAAATATCCACCACTTAGCAACATTTTGAGGCAAGTAACAGCCCTTATGGTCAAAGGCTACCTTTCGTCATTTAATTCTTAGATGTTTTGGCAGTCAGGAAACAAAACAATCCTTCGTTCGCGAGGGTTGCCAGTGAAGCTAACGTGGCCCCCAACTAGTTTTATCGACATAAATGGCAGAGACTTCACCGTACAAGTATGTAGAAATTGAAAGTMYACACAKTGTARWTATAGGAAATCACCAACTGCAAGAAAATCCACACCAAACCGGTGAGACAGATTTGGCATTCATAATACTTTCTCGCCAGGAGATGTTCACACAACGACGGTCAAATGCAAATAAAGCATAATGAAACTTTTACCCCACAATGCTTCACGCGACTTGATCACCCTCCTCTGATTCTGCCGTGGCTTTCTTTATTCTGCCGTGAGTTTAGTTTATTTTGCCGTGAATTTATTGCCTTTTGCCGTGAGTTTAGTTTGTTTTGCCGTGAGTTTTTGTTTTGCCGTGAGACTTGTGGGCCACCGTAAAGATTTGTTTCGAAAATCTGACCGATTGTTGGTTTGACTTCATTGACGAGCAAGTCTATACACTTTTAATGCCGTCACTCCGTCAACAACAAAATCGTTCGCGTCGATCTGAAGTCAATTCTCAGCGCTTTGACTTTCATCGAGACAGGTGGAATGCTATTCTAAAGGTTTTGTCATTGCTTTGATGGACTTAAAATTACATAAATTCTATATCATACAGCTTTTCATGTGTATATTTATATGACATGATATCGTGTGGGCGAAATTTATTTGATGGCCGATATGTTGTGGGCTAAACGGTGTGGGCTAACTGACTTGTGCGCGCAACATCCGCTTACAGCATTGTAGCTATATTGTCTCATCTTGGGAATAAGCATTCTTCAAATTTCATATATCAATATTCCGCACCAAAATATTCTCCAGCAACTGCAGTTTCTACTATAAAGGACGACAAAATGACTTGAGTATGGATATTTTTCATGAATTCATGGTAAATACGTAACAAAGTCGAAACAAATACATGAGTCTGAAGTCATACTTGAGTCAATTTGGCGCTGTTTTTATCACTCTATTGTCATAAATATTTTCAAGATTGGATATTACTTACTTGGAGGTTATCGTTAATCTCTTTCGCTCTTTATAGTCGATATGATGCAGTTAGTTCAGTTGTTATATCTAATCTTCCATACACACAGGAATTCCGAGAAATCTGAGTTTAAGTGACCCGTGACATACACACAGGAATTCCGAGAAATCTGAGTTTAAGTGACCCGTGACATAAAATCACAGGAAGCCCAAGCAATGTGATTGTTCYTTATTACAAAGGAATGTATGTGGAATCGTGTATTTAAAGAATATCTAGAGTAATTTTTGTAGTTTGTATTCTTGTACAAAATACAAGAAAAGAAGAAAACTACAGTGTTATTGCCGGTTTAATAAAAAGTAAATTTCTTCACGATTTTTTTAGTATTTCTTTTATACACCGACTGCCGACTCACTTTCATAAGTGTCAGATATAGCAATCACAAAATTTAACCCAACGATTATTAAACTTTAGTTTACCTTTATGGGAAGCACGCCTCTCACCAATGCGGCCCGAGTTCGAGTCCTGCCGATCTCGATGTCGTATGTGAGTAGAGTTGTTTGTTGGTTCTCTCCTGTGCTTCGAGGGTTTTTCTCCGGGTTCTCCGGTTTTCCTCGTCCTCCTCAAAAAATCAACTCCTAAATTCTAATTCGATCTTTGGGCTTTCACTTAGTTTGGAGCCTAGCTCTGTTGTGATTGTCCCACGCTGTGTTGTGATACGACAGCGAAAAGCTTTGTAGATTTTTATTTTTATTTTTATTTTTTTATTTTTTATTTTAGGATAATTTATCAAAGTGACTGATTGGGGGTGGGCTGCAAATCACGTGTCGGAAATCAATGTCTACGTATATTCTTTTTTTGTTAGTTGCTAAAACTTCAAGGCTCAGTGCAGGATTAGGAATTACTCGGGTGTATAAACTGACCAAGAAAGTTCAAGATGCGCCGCGAAAAGATGATCTTTCTTATCGTGTCTACTCACATTCTTAATTTAGCTTCTCAAAGCAACAGCTCTAACTTGAACTAGGAAGATCTTCCCGTAAGTAAACAAATGCCATGTTTAATTCATAAAGTTGGCGACCTTCAATTCCCCGTGATATATCGTTTTCACCTTGTTTCAAGTCATTTTTACTTGCCAGATTTTTACATAAGATTTAATAATGCTAGCGCTATATAGAATGCATAAAAATGTTTGTTCGAGTTTTAAGTTTGGTTTGCCTTTTCGTATGGATTGAGCTGGATTTTTTTAAATAAATGAAACTGCCGGCCATTTAGTGTTTTGAAATTCTCGTGACCGGCTCCCGCTCATTTAGACACTTCATTTCATTTCACTATTTTATATTCTATTATTTTCAAAATCAAAAAAGAAAAACGGAAAAAAGGAGCAAAAGGTGAGTAGGTATAATGTTTAGGTCACCCATCCAAGTGCTAACCCTCCTCAGCCGAGCTTGACTTCAGTATCTTGAACGACAACGATTTATCCACTGGACCACGGTTCCAGGTGAATCAGCATAACAATAGCCGTGAAAACAATGCACCGAATAGACTAGACTTTTTAACATTATATTTTCAACCGATTCCGTGCGTGGCAGAGATGCAAGGGATTAGCCGATATGGTCTGGGGGCCGGCTGGTCTCTCCCCTGATGCTTCGGCTAGAACATTTTCTTGCGTAATTCGTACACCCAAGGGCAGAAGGATTTAATCGCCGTCAGGTCCGAAGTCCATACGCCGCCTCAGCTCTACGGATGTCTCGGGGGTATGGCACAGTGGGATCGATTTTTAAGATTTCTTTTGTTTGGGTCGAATCCCGTCTTATCCACATAAAATTTTTCTTTTTTTCTTTTCTTTTTTCTTTTCTTTTCTTTTTATCCATTTTTTATTATATTTTGAATCTTCTACCAGGGCAATCTTTTTAGTGAAAAAAGATTTATTCCTAGTCGGTTGCTTATAAGCCTGAATAAATTCGATCAGAAGTTATCAGTCATATAAGTCATATATATCGATCCGCGAAAAAGTACTTATTCCGGGGCGGTGCCGAAAAGACTTCTGGGTACTATTGCATTATTTCTGCATTTTCTGATCAGGAAGATAAACAGCCACCCCAGTAAATAATAACAATAGCAAAGGATGGTAAAAAGATAAGAAAATTAATTGGTGATTTTGACTGAAAACATTGGGATATTTGATCTTGTGGCGTCATGGCGCAAAATCTAAATCACAAGTAGTGTGACATTCATAACGCAAAACTGTTTATTTTATAGCCTAAGAAAGGGCAGAACATGCTATTATTTAAATGTTATGTAGAGAAAACCTCGATGTTCGGCTCATTTCTCCATCAAAAACCATGAACAGACTCCAAATTCTGACACTTCGCGGGACGAACCGATAAACTGCCTTCGCGAGGAATGAATTTTTAACGGGTTTTATACGTACCTACTCAGTAATAAAAATTACAAAAAGTACACTGATTTCAACAATAGGGAATGACATGTGGTCTGAAATGGATAAACATCAGCTTAACTGAGAGGTCTATTACCAACAAGAAAATACTCTCGTCAACTTCTTGTGACTATTGAATTCTAATAAGCGCGTGAAAAACGTTTTCTTCAAGAACAATTTTCGAAACTTTAGATCGGTCCCAGAGGAGGATCCACTTATATCCAAAATGCCTTTGCACGCTTATTATTGTTTTCTTTGGCTTTCCTTGCATTATCTAAATGTTTTTGTAATGATACTTCTACCACTAATATTACTAATACTAAGGTGTTGCTTTAGCATTTAATGAAGACATTTTTGACTAATTTGAAAAAAAGAATTAACCAGTTGTAGAATCTATACTGAAACTGAAGTTACTCAAAAAGTATTCCCGTATTTTGACATGCATCTTTAAATCTCTCTCTAAGAATTTAGAAATAGATATCGTTAAAAGGTATGAACTACACTCTAAATAAGTAAAATTGATTTCGAAAATATTAATTTTAGCTCTTTAATTTAAAAACATGTTATATCTCACTCGCAATGCATTCTGGAATACTCCTCTGGATAAGTATTTGATGTCCTTACACTGTTTAATTTAGGTATTCGTTATAAATGATAAAGAGGGGGGAAACATTTTAAGGAAACTAGCATAATTCGGAAAGATAGGCATACTTTTAGCATAATTTCAACTGAAGAATTGACATTTTGGAACCACACTAGAACTGCTAGGAGCATAAAATTTCAGTCTTACTTACGACACTAGCCTAAAAAGGTTTTTTTCGTAATAAGAATTCCAGCATAAAAGTTAATTACTTTGCGGCTTTACAGTTCACAAAGCAAAAAATAAAAAAATAAGAAAGATAATAATGATCTTCGAGAAATTTTCGATTGGTAACGTTCAGAAGTTTTTCCGTTTAGTGGGTTTTTTCAAAATCCGCTCTTCTCTAAACCCACTAAACGACCTCAAATCGCGCTGAAACTTCGCCAGAAGACTGAACAAAGTAAAAGCAACAACTGCAGCAAATTTTGAGGCAACGTATTGAGTGAAACATTTTATTTTCGTAACTTTATCATAACTCCCATACATTCCCTTATAAACCATACACAGGAACCTTGTTTGGGCTGCCTGTGCTC